GACATAACACGAATGTCGCCTACCCGTCTGCCAGACATTACCACCACAAGGAACGCCGTCTCCCAGCTCAACAGCTGAAGAGAGAGAGACGACAGATCCCGAAAGGAAGGACCGGACAGCCAATCGAGAATGATTGACAAGTCCCAAGGGGGACTGATCGGCTGGACTGGCGGTCGGATCCTGTCCACACCTGCTAAAAAGCGCTGCACTAATGGGTGTGCACCCAGAAGTGCCCCGTCGACAGGGACGTGAAAAGCTGCGATAGCTGTAGAGTACCCTCGGACTGTTGATGCGGCCAGGCCGTCATCTAGTCGCGACTGGAGAAACTCAAGCACGGATACGAGATCTGCAGAAAAAAAGATCTGCAATCCCTCTATCGACACACCAGGGCGCATAGCAGGCCTATCTATCGTACTGAACGTTTGTCGAATCCCTCCGCGAAGCCAGTATTGTGTCTGCAACTCGTGCAGGAATACCGCTCTTCTGGAGGCGATTCCTGACAGTGGCCAAGCCACCGATTGAATCCTGAGATTCGGGTGGAGGGCCCCATTCTGGGATAGGAGGTTCGGTCGTAAAGGTAATATAACAGGAGTCTGAGCCAGAAACCTGAGTATTACTGGAAACCCACTCTGAGCCGACTAAAGAGGTGCCAGGAGCACAATTAGTCGCGCAGGCTGAGTGCCTAGCTGAGACAGGACCTTGGAAATCAGAGGTACTGGGGAGAATGCCCACAGAACTGTCCGTCCAATCTAGCTGAAAGGCGTCCGGTGCCACCGACCACGGGTCGTGGACTCGGGAGCAGAACGTTGGTGTCTGGTTATTTAACCCAGACGCAAACAGATCCACATGTAACGACCTGTATAACAGGGAGAAAATCCCGAATATCCCCGGGTCGAGCCTCCACTCGTGAGGAGCGAGGATCCGGCAAGACAGAGCGTCCGCACGGACGTTGTCCACCCCCGGGAGATAAACAGGTAGCACCCTGATATCGTGAGAGTCGCACTATAGTAGGAACTGCCACGTCTTTCGTCGAAGCGACGGAGACGCCGTTCCCCCCTGCTTCCGGATGTAAGTCATCGCCGTTTGGTTGTCCATCTCTAGACGAACCACTTGGCCACGAAGCAGATCCGGGAAGCGATGGAACACCAACCTGACCGCTCTCAGTTCTAGCACATTGATATGCAGTTTGATCTCCTGCTGGGACCATAGTCCCGAGGCAGTGTGATCATTCAGAACGCCTCCCCAGCCAGAGAGTGACGCGTCTGTTTGAACTGTGAGAGACGGAACGGGAGTGATTCCCGACCTCGGTCCACCACTGGAGGTGTGTAATGAGCCACTACGGAGTCTCGAGCACAGTCTCGAGATCTTCCGAGTTCGCCCAAAGTCGACGGAGTGCTTGTTGAATGGGACTCATTCTCAAGCGCGCCCGCCAGACCAAATCCACTGTCGCCGCCATGTTGTCCAGTAACTGGAGCCATGTACGAGCAGTGTGACTTGCGCTTAAGGGACTTGATATCTTGTGACAGAGATACACGTCCTCTCACCGTGTTGAAATTAGCCACTAGGAAGACTACATTCTGAGTGGGGCTCAGATCTTCTTGAGATTGACCATACACCCTAGAGTGATCAGAATATCTATCACTTGTTGTGTAGCTATCTGACTCAGGGATTGCAATAGAGCTCTTAGTAACCAGTCGTCGAGGTACGGATGGCAGAACCGACCTTTTGACCTGGCCACTTGGGCGGGAATCAACATCAGCTTGGTGAACACCCTCGGGGCCGTGGAGATCCCGAATGGTAGAACCCTGAACTGATAACACCTCCCGTCGAAAGAAAACCTCAGGTATTTCTTGAACTCGGGGTGTATTGGTATGTGGAGATAGGCGTAGTTTAAGTCTATTGACGTTAGCCATTCTCCTGTCTCGACAGTTGAGATCACTGTTTGGTGACTAGGAAACAAGTCGAGTAGAAGCCCTCGCTTTCCTGTCCCTCGGGACCCGGTTCGATCGCAGCTTTCATAAGAAGTGCGTCAACCTCGGCACGGAGGAATTCCGCCTTCTCTCGGGTAGCAGGCACCGGAGTGTGCTTTATCCCGGAAAAGTGGAGGAGCTGATGAGTTTTCCACCGAGGCAAATGGCCATCCCTTAAAATGGACGGGGTCCGGGGATTGTGATGTAACTGTCTCCCATTCCTTCAGGAATAGAGCCAGTCGGCCGCCTGCGGGGACATCCGGCTTGGGGCAGTGGACCCCGGGTGTCGGCAGTTCGATAACTTGCGACTGTGGGTTCACCCGGGGCTCTTCGGGCGCTAATGGGAACCCATCGTTCCCAGCCCCGCGAAAAAGCTGTTGGCCTCGACCAGCTGCCTTGCCCCGGCCCGTGCCTTTCTTGCTCCTCCCGGCGCCCTTATACCTGAAGGAAGCGGCGGCTTCCAAGCAGGTGTGGACGTCTGACCCGTGCGTTAGCGTAGGAGGGGACAATGGGAGAGGCCCGCTTACGCGGTTTTAACGCTTGGTACCTCCAACAAGGCCTTATGAGTCTTTGATGGAAGTATACAATTGAGCAGCCCCTCGGACCACCTGCTGAGCCCCAGGGAAGAGGGTGGCACCCTCTTATACGGCAAAGCAAGTAGGTCTTGGCGTGTGTAAGTCGAGTATTTAGATACCGACATCCACCGCCTGCGCATGCCCATAACAGCGCACATCATCTGCGAGGCACAGCTACGAATAGCGTCCCGCGCAAGATAACTGAACTTCCGTTAGTTGCGCGGCCAACTCCGAAGAGTCGGCCGGCCCCTCTCCCGCTAACTCCCTCTGTACAGCCGACAGATACGCGGAGTGTACGGACACACGGAGCTGTTGGCATGCATTATGATATTGCTCCTCGAAGCATATGTAAGCAGCCTTCAACTCCGCACCGCACACGGGAAAGGGGGGGGCAACCGCCGGCCCCTGGACAATCCTGTCCCGCACGTGTCTCTGCACCCGGCCCGAGGCTGAGTCCCGGTGCCGAGGTGCCGGGGGTTCAAGTGAACCCACGTGGCGCCGGGCTATGTATCCACTAGTGGAAGCCTCGGCCTCGGAAGAGGCGTCTGGCTCCGCTAGGGAAAATTGTGCGTCGGTAGTGCACGGGCCGGTGCCCGCCACCACTACGCTGGGGAGCGACCTCGAGCCGGAGCCGAAGCTCGGTCTCGGATCGTCCCCGAGACAAAGGGAACCAACCTGGCGCCGGGCTAGGTATCCACTAGTGGAAGCCTCGGCCTCGGAAGAGGCGTCTGGCTCCGCTAGGGAAAATTGTGTGTCGGTAGTGCACGGGCCGGTGCCCGCCACCACTACGCTGGGGAGCGACCTCGAGCCGGAGCCGAAGCTCGGTCTCGGATCGTCCCCGAGACAAAGGGAACCAACCTGGCTCCGGGCTAGGTATCCACTAGTGGAAGCCTCGGCCTCGGAAGAGGCGTCTGGCTCCGCTAGGGAAAATTGTGCGTCGGTAGTGCACGGGCCGGCGCCCGCCACCCCTCCGCTGGGGAACGACCTCGAGCTGGCGCCGAAGCCCGGTCTGAGATCGTCCCCGAGACCAAGTGGCCTGCCTCGGCCGACGCCGGGCATATCACAAGGTCTCGAAGCCGCACCCGGCGCCGACAACGGGGAAGGCTCGGTCCGCATCTCCTCTCGGAGCTGAGACTTTACCTCCTCCATCATCGACGCCATCTGCGACTTAAGTAACGCAGAAAAGTCTGCCAAAGACAGTGCAGGAGAGGGTGCAGTGCTTACTACGGGGACCCTCGAGCCTTCTCCCCCGGCCCCCGGAGAGGGAGCGGGGGAGACAATCTCGGCAGCTTTTTTACCCTTTTTAGATGGGGAGGGGGGGGGGATGTCTTAGTAGATCTGATATCTACCCCCGCCTTTAATAGACCTCTTTAAAGTGGAACAAGTCAACTTGTCTCTTTTTGGGGGCCCCGGGGGGTAAAGGCAATGTCCTCCGCCAGACATATTAGGCAGCGTTGTGCCTGTCTTAGAACAACCCGTACACAGTTTGAAGGTCTTGTACTCTAACAAGACCGTAATTTCTGAGGTGGGCGGGAAGGGTGTCAACGTGTATCAGTGTGATATAAAGATCGGGAAGATACGTGCATAAATTGTGAAACTAGAAGCAAAGGCGTAATGTACAATACGATTTGTAACGCGATACTAATAGCCAATGTCGTAGTATAATTATAACACCAAAGGGGCGTGTTACGCGCTAGGGTGTAAAACCCGTAAAAAAGGTAAGTGTAGTTTATGAGTTAACACACCACCTTGGGTTTTGTAAAGGAAAAAATTGTAGACCAATGCTGTATGATATAACAAAACCCAAAGCCGTTTCTTAATGGCCTTGGTGTTACATGTATCAGCCCGTGGAACTACAATATGGACGCCATTACGGCCATTGAATTCAAAGGTACCGTGCACATGGCGTATTATTACAACTCTATAACTTCACAATGCGAGGTATTACGCCTTTGCAATGAAAGAAATGTACCATACATACAGTTTGGTCAGCCATGGTTATTGTCGAACGATAGATTTCTCTTATTTTTGTCTTGTGTGAAAAATCAACACGTCTGTCTCTTACAGATGACATAAGGAAAGTGATTTGGGTGAGAGTTGCTCCCCCTGGCGTGAGGCGCCGTTGGGGGTGAGGCCCCGTAAGGATGGTCGTATATCATACAAAAACGAAGTTTTTTGTGTGGTAACATTTTTTATTAAGGAAAATGGTTACAACTATGTCATGTAGATTTTCTTGAGCAAGGAAAATGCAATAAGTGCCCCAAGGAGGATTTAATCAGAAAGAGAATCATTATCCCATTATGGGTGTCATGATATGTAGTATCAAAATGTGAGGTAAGTGTACCGTGACACCCCTAGTCAATATACATGATATAGACAGAAATATACATGAAAGAACAGGATGTTTACACCAGTGCGACCGAAACACGACGATGGTAAGAAGACATATACTCACATCCATTGCGACCTGCAGCAAGTCGGCTAAATTCTCCATGAAGCTGATCATAGTTGCGTCACTCATACCAACATCCTGATGGATATATGAAAAATGTCTTAGATAAAAATCACTTGCTCATATAATTTTTGCATCTGATGGCTTTAGCGACTAGGCCTCACCCCACAAAGCACTCATACTCCCATACTAGGGTTCTTAGAGGGTAGAAAACAATAGACTCAAGTACCCATATCTCAAAACCTAACCCTGACTTGAGTGGCAGATTTCTGCAATAAAATACCACACAGACAAACTGTGGCCAGGCACTGGACCGTTTCTTGGCATCACTCTCTGTCTCAACTTCCTCACAGAGATACCCTGTTCGCGGAGCTCTCTATACTATCGCTGCCACCAGTCAAAACTCCCCACAGTGATAAATGATCACAGCTATGCTTGGAGTTGGAACTTGCAACCTGAACGACTGTTATGTTTACAAACAAGTGACGACTGTCATGACGCTGAATACACTTACCCCCACTAAATTACTTTCTTTGTTTGTCAATTTGAATATCATTCCTGAGTACTAAATAAAAGGACCTTACCAAACTATTTGTTTAATTTGACCAACTCTGTCCCCCCTCATACTAATGACATCTGGTAAGACTTTCTTTCATACTTATGACTATTAACCATAAAATGTTCCAATGTTAAAAATAATTACATGAAACTAAATTTTCTTTCATTAAGACTTTAAGCTTTAAAGTATTTTTTCTTCATCTTCGTTTTAATTTATCTTTGATAGTTGTACAGTTTGGTTTCCATGGTTTCTCAATTATAGATATGGTACCACCAGAATCTGACTGTATGACCAATGTCATGGACAATAACAAGTTCAACATTAGATCTGTTCCGACACAGGGCCATCCTTACCTTCCTACAAAGTCTTTCTTTCGGTGCCTTTCCCACCTGTGAAGTACATAGGAAAAATAATACAACTTCAGATATTATCAGTTTACATCTTCATCATCCTTGATGTTATAACATCAATATTGATGTTTAACATTATTCCCAAGATCCCTGAAGTTATAACATCAATATTGATGTCAACATTATTCCCAAGATCCCTGATGTTTCAATATTGATGTCAACATTATTCCAAAGATCCCTGATGTTTCAATATTGATGTTTAACATTATTCCCGAGATCCCTGATGTTTCAATATTGATGTTTAACATTATTCCCGAGATCCCTGATGTTTCAATATTGATGTTTAACATTATTCCCAAGATCCCTGAAGTTATAACATCAATATTGATGTCAACATTATTCCAAAGATCCCTGATGTTTCAATATTGATGTTTAACATTATTCCTGAGATCCCTGATGTTTCAATATTGATGTTAAACATCATTCCCGAGATCCCTGATGTTTCAATATTGATGTTTAACATTATTCCCGAGATCCCTGATGTTTCAATATTGATGTTAACATTATTCCCAAGATCCTTGATGTTTCAATATTGATGTTTAACATTATTCCCAAGATCCCTGATGTTTCAATATTGATGTTTAACATTATTCCCGAGATCCCTGATGTTTCAATATTGATGTTTAACATTATTCCCGAGATCCCTGATGTTTCAATATTGATGTTTAACATCATTCCTGAGATCCCTGATGTTTCAATATTGATGTTTAACATTATTCCCGAGATCCCTGATGTTTCAATATTGATGTTTAACATTATTCCCGAGATCCCTGATGTTTCAATATTGATGTTTAACATCATTCCTGAGATCCCTGATGTTTCAATATTGATGTTTAACATTATTCCCGAGATCCCTGATGTTTCAATATTGATGTTTAACATTATTCCCAAGATCCCTGAAGTTATAACATCAATATTGATATTTAACATTATTCCAAAGATCCCTGATGTTTCAATATTGATGTTTAACATCATTCCTGAGATCCCTGATGTTTCAATATTGATGTTTAACATTATTCCCAAGATCCCTGAAGTTATAACATCAATATTGATGTCAACATTATTCCCAAGATCCTTGATGTTTCAATATTGATGTCAACATTATTCCCAAGATCCCTGATGTTTCAATATTGATGTTTAACATTATTCCCGAGATCCCTGATGTTTCAATATTGATGTTTAACATCATTCCTGAGATCCCTGATGTTATAACAAACAATATGGCTCCAGGCTAAGAAAACAGCTCATGTAATCTCAGTTAATTTCAATCTCATTGAAATATTTACCAAAATATAGTGGTACATAGGAATCGCATTCAGGTTCTTAACTCATAGATTCCGGTTGGCCAAGTGTATTCTTCAATATGCCAGTAATTGTAAAACTATTTCCAGACAGGTCAGGTGAGGTCAAATGGGGTTTATTGTCCCATTCAAGATACTTAGCCTGTGTGTGCTACTGCTTGAACTAGTCTGGACTAATGCCGGTTTTATAGTGCTAGCACCATTATGCAGACACAGTATACTGACTCCAAGCCAACCAGTCCTTGTCTCATCCAAGGGCCAGGAAGAGTAACAAGTACAATCTTTCAAAGTTCTTTTGGTATGACATGACCAGGGGATGCAACCACCGACCTTCCACTCTCCGGGCAGATGCACAGAGGCGGTCAGCCAGAGCGAAATCTTACCTTCTCCATGAGCGTCGCCGCTGCCGTCACCCTCTTCAGCACATACATGTGCCACATCATGCTACACAGGCCTGCAACATAAACACACAGTTACGGAATTAGGACCGAGTGGGTGGATAGCGCACTTGGAACAGTATTTCAGCTATATCATGACATGACCGTTTCATAAGGGAGGAAAGTCCCGAAGGATGCAGGTCTAAGACATTCACCACTCTGCTGACACAAACAAGCACGGCGCTGGCACTGAAAAACCTAGAAACATAATCAAGTGAAACCTGGGATTCAAACACATGATCATATGTTTCAAGCATGTCTAAGGGACACAACTCTGCACTGTGTGTCGTGGCACTTTCGACAACTGGGCCAAGTAGTGTCAGGAAATATCTCCCGCTGTTAGCAGACACTGCTCACTATATCTGGCAGCAGCTGTCTTGGTTAATATGTTACATCAGGATACCTACATAGAGTATGAAGACTAGCGACAATCTTACAAACCTTGTCTGAGAACAGCATTCTGGACCAGCTTCAGATATTCCAGGGACAACTGGAGATAACTAATCAGCTGAAACATAATAATTGACCTGCATCAGAACGAGTGTTGGGAATTGGTGAAGATCTCAAAATAGATCAAGGAAAAGAAAGATCATTGTTTCTAAACTCCATGGTTGTGCACTGGAACCAATCACCCAGTGCTGAAAGTGATTCATTGAACAAAATATTCAAAACACTTACAATTTCCAATTTTCCAAAAATATTACTCAAAATTAATTTTGAAAGTTAATGATGTTATTTTGTTGTTTAACACCACAGGCAGCAGCTTATAATAATTATCTTAACTAGACAAACAAGTGACTGATATTATGAGCAGGAACCAAATTTCCTTTGAACAGCGTATTCCCAGCAGCAGTTGGACAGCAGGATGGCCCTTACATACACTCCCACCCCCATACACAACCCAACCCCATACACAACCCAACCCCCACCCTTGTGTGTTACCTCCGGGTCCTTGTTCCACTGAACAGCGTACTCCCAGCAGCAATTGGACAGTAGGACGGCCCTTACATACACTCCCACCCCAATACACAACCCACCCCCATACACAACCCACCCCCATACACTCCCACCCCCATACACAACCCACCCCCATACACAACCCACCCCCATACACTCCCACCCCCATACACAACACACACCCATACACTCCCACCCCCATACACAACCCACCCCCATACACTCCCACCCCCATACACAACCCACCCCCATACACAACCCACCCCCATACACAACCCACCCCCATACACAACCCACCCCCATACACAACCCACCCCCATACACAACCCACCCCCATACACAACCCAACCCCCACATCCCCCCAACTCCACCCTTGTGTGTACCTCCGGGTCCTTGTTCCACTGAACAGCGTACTCCCAGCAGCAGTTGGACAGCAGGACGGCCCTTACATACACTCCCACCCCCATACACAACCCAACCCCCACATCCCTTCAACCCCACCCTCGTGTGTACCTCCGGGTCCTTGTTGCACTGAACAGCATACTCCCAGCAGCAATTGGACAGCAGGACGGCCCTTACATACACTCCCACCCCAATACACAACCCACCCCCATACACAACCCACCCCCATACACAACCCACCCCCATACACAACCCAACCCCCACATCCCCCCAACTCCACCCTTGTGTGTACCTCCGGGTCCTTGTTCCACTGAACAGCGTACTCCCAGCAGCAGTTGGACAGCAGGACGGCCCTTACATACACTCCCACCCCCATACACAACCCAACCCCCACATCCCTTCAACCCCACCCTCGTGTGTACCTCCGGGTCCTTGTTGCACTGAACAGCATACTCCCAGCAGCAATTGGACAGCAGGACGGCCCTTACATACACTCCCACCCCCATACACAACCCAACCCCCACATCCCCCCAACCCAACCCTTGTGTGTACCTCCGGGTCCTTGTTCCACTGAACAGCGTACTCCCAGCAGCAGTTGGACAGCAGGATGTCATTCTCCAGACTGTGTGGGAACCTCACCCGCAGCTCTGCCAGGTGGTCTGGGAAACACAGACAATTTGTAGCTTTACTACTTGCCATTCAAACTGAAATTCCTCTTCAAGGAGTATATTGATATGTCAAGTCAAATACACAGGATTCCATTTGATGGTCACGAACATTGATTAAATGACTGACCTTGTATTTTCTCCAGACAGGACTGTTCGTGAGCCTCTGTGGCTTCAGCGGCAGGCTCGATGTCCATCGCTGCGTCGTCGCTGTCGGTGCTGGTGCTGAGCAGGTGTTTGTACAGAGACTGAGGCTGCAGCTGGAGGCGGATGATGTACTGGGCCACGACCTCCGATATCGAGCCTGGCAACATGGAGGGAGACAGAACATTTATGCCACTTTTAGCAATATTCCAGCCATGTCACTGCTGGGGACACCAGAATGGGATTCACATATTGTACCCATGTGAGAAACAAACCCACATCTTGAGAATGACGAGCGCACTCTTACTGACTAGGATACCCAACCACACCGGAGAACAATCTCTTTATTACCTTGACGTACCATTCTCAACCAACAAAATTACAAGTTTAAGGTTGTCTCAATGAAAGTCAGGATTTGTACAACATTACAACATTACAACAAAACAATAATATGGTCATGGGGGCATGACATCATTACCCTGTTGAGAGGCTACGTGTACCTTCAAATGCCATTTTCAGCTCCCTGAGGAGTACACAGACAAACAAAGATCAACGTCTTAATGATTCCCATATATGCTGTCCTTCGGATCAGGTATTGTGTAACTATGTCCCGACAATGTACTTCTACAAATACACACTTCAGCTGTAAGTACCTTGAGATTTACACCGATGTCGAGGCCATCGTTTTGTGGGCCTTGAGTGGAGAGTGAAAAGTGAAAAGAGTGCGGGGGTGACTTGGGTTTAATGCCACTTTGAGCAGTATTCAAGTTATATCATGGTGTGTCAACATAATGTGGAAGGAAAGCCCGCAATGATGCAGGTCTCAGACGTTTACCACTTGGGTGAAACCCACTAGAACAAGTATTGTGCTGACCTAGAAACATAATTTGGGCTAACAGGGAATCGAACCCACTATCATAGTTTTCTGACATGCCCATGAGATGGAACTCAGCATAGTGAATTGCTGTCCCTCCCTCATTCCCCTTCCCCCTCCGCCAGATAGAGGACACATGACAGTGTTCTACTGGACTAAGAAGTAACAGTATTGAGATGGTGCTCGGCTTCATGCTCTATTAGTTTATGCAAAGTAATATGGCAGTGTTCTTCTACCAGACATAATGCAGGTTGTATTTTAGTTACTTGGTTTACATGTCATCTCAGGAGCTAAGGAGCTTTAGGTCAAGGGCAACCTTCTAGCAGCTGCTATAGGCTTCTTGCCAGGGACAATGCCTATCACCTTGTTTATCTATGCAACAACTGACAATGTAAGTAATGTTGTGTTAAAAGCCACAGAATTCTACCTGAATACTAACCTCTGCCACCTTCCAACAGTTTCAAGACAGACAATCTGATTGGGTCTAAAGTTGGCTTAGGGCCATAAGGAGACCTTTCATTGGCTGGAAGTCGGAGGTGGATGAGGAAGCTGAGAGCCAGGACATCCTCCAGCTGCTTGATAAGCAGGTTCCAGTGTTCCATGTCCACTGCTAGCGACTCCCACTCGGACATGTCCGTCTTGTCGGAACTCAAGCTGGCTGTGTCCGCATCCGGGTCCTGCAACAGGCACAGGTGAGGTGAGGGGGGAGCCTAACTTCACATGGTAAGATCTCACTCAATCATAGGGAGGGAGTGGTGGAGAGTAAGGGAGTTTCTCAAAAGTGCACAGTCAGAGAAGGATGTTCATGATTATCAAAAATACATGATTGTGTTTTTGTTTTGAGGGACATTGGGGTTCCTATCATATTTTGAAAGTGTGAGTGAGTGTGAGTGAGTGGGTGGGTGGTTGGGTGTCTGTGAGTGAGTGAGTGAGTGAGTGAGTGAGTGAGTGAGAGAGTGACTGTCTGTGAGTGAGTGAGTGACTGTCTGTCTGTCTGTCTGTGAGTGAGTGAGTGAGTGAGTGAGTGAGTGAGTGAGTGTCAGTGAGTGAGTGAGTGAGTGAGTTACTGTCAGTGAGTGAGTGAGTGTCTGTCTGTCTGTCTGTCTGTGTCTGTGTCTGTTTGTGCGAATTCACCACTGCTAACAGCCATAGGTCTGTTGTAACCCCCATACTGTTCTAACAGGGCCTTGGTGGTAATCCATCTGACCAGCCTTGTGAAACATTTTTTTAGAAACTGACTTAAAGAATCATAAGCATCGATTATTAAGTAACGACAATGTTCAATATTTACCTTGGCTTTTGTTTGACTGCCAAATATATCCATGGCAACAGCTCGAGCTGCAAGTGCCAGGATGTAGACTGCACGTATGTTTTGTGAGTGGCAGCACACATCTCGTATTTTCTGCCACCAGGGGGACGCAATGTTATGATCGACTAGAACCTCACTCTTGTCTGTAAAGGAAAATAAGCAGCAATGATACCTCACCACATTAGCTTCACACAGTACACCTGCACCATCCCACATAAGTGAAGGCAATATGGGACATGTTATGTTATACATGACAAAATTATGATATCAGAAAAATCTCAGGGACTGAAATGAGTGAGTGAGTTAAAATTTAACGTCACATTCAGCCAAATTGCAATCTCAAGAGTTTGATATTAAGAATGAAAGTCACGTTATAACTTTGGTGTTACAGGTTACAGTTTAGGGAGTCGCCAGTTTCAAATAATATAGGGCAAACCAAAGGGAAACCTTAACTTGGAGACCCATGAAGATCTGGGGTAGAATAGGTCTTAAGCAACCAATGCTTCCCGTAAAAGGCGACTATGCTTGTCGTAAGAGGTGACTAACGGGATCGGGTGGTCAGGCTCGCTGACTTGGTTGAAGCATGTCATCAATCCCAAATGCATGGATCGATGCTCATGATATCTATCACTGGATTGTCTGGTCCAGACTCGATTATTTAGAGACCGCCATCATATAGCTGGAATATTGCTGAGTGCGGCGTAAAATAACCAACCAACCAACCAACCTTAATTTTGAGTGCAGTGTCTTCATTACAGAAGATGCAAATAACATGATGCAAGCACTGTTATAGACTAACAATTCACTGTCTTTACTGAAAGTGATTTTTTTCCCCAGCAAAATGAAATATTTTTGGCCAAAAAGACTTGGTAAAATCTAACTGAGCCAAAAATCAAGTTTTTCGCACTTTAAAAATTACAAAAAGTATCTCAGATTATTTTTTACATGGCGACCATGCGCCATTGTTGTAAGGAAGGACATTGTGACTGACATAATTATGATAATATTCCATCAAACTCAGAAAAACCTGTATCATACCCCATTATTTCAAACAAGGACACATTCAATAGGATTGCACACAGCAATATTCCGGCTATATGACGGCAGTCGGTAAATAATCGAGTCTGGACCAGACAATCCAGTGATTGACGTCATGAGCATCGATCCACGCAATTGGGATACGATGACATGCATCAACCAAGTCAGTGAGCCTGACCACCCGTTAGTCACCTCTTACGACAAGCATAGTCGCCTTTTACGGGAAGCATGGGTTGCTGAAGACCTATTCTACCCCGGATATTCATTCAATAGGAAGTTTAAATGTGTTACAGTGATTGCTGTGTCCACTCACCTGTCATGGCTGTGACAGTTTTTATAAGGTGCATCAGATTAGGTAAGGACGTTACGCTTCTCTCGTCTGAGGACATCCAGTAGACTAGCAGCAGATCCTGCAACACAACATGGAGGGACTACACATGGCATCACTTGTACACACAGCATATGGCAACACTTACACACAAAGCCCTTGAACAGTGTTTTATACATAGAAATAGAATATAAAAAAATAGACTGCGTCACACCTTACATTTATAAAAAAATTGGATCACACTAATCAATTTATTGTAACCATGGGAAATTAGGATTTACGTCACGTCCAAGATTATTGCAACGTGCATGCATGTGTGTGTGTGTGTGGCTGCTTGTACTAGTTCGGACTGATACCGATTTATAGTGCTAGCCCACTGAGATACCATACCGCAGTTTAACATGAATACCCCACTCAGACAGTATACTGACTCCGAGCCGACCAGTCCTTGTTTTAGCCCCTTAATGCCAAGGGCCAGCCAGGGTAGCAACAAGTACCATCTTTTAACATCTTTTGGTATGACGCGGCCGGGGATCGAACCCCGGACCTTCCGCTCTCCGGGTGGACACTCTACCTCTAGACCAAGGAGGCGGTCGTAACCATGGCTAAAAAGCTTCCACAGGAAGTCCATGATGACTATGAGCACTGACAACTCACTATGATCTGATCCGCTGGGAGGTTGGCATCCTGCAACACGATGCTCACGTCTCCTGATGCCGCCTCCCCACAGCAACATGAGTGGAAGAACAGATGGGCTGGAACATTGAACAGTCAGGACAGGTACATAGCATGTCATATCCTACTGGTTCACAAACATGCAATAATGTTAACTTTTCAAAACATTTTTCATTTGGACCATTTACAAAACCTCTATAAAGGCTAGATTTCATTCATATATTATTGCTTATGGATCATATAATGAACAGTCATGATTCATTGGTTATCAACTAAAACTGGCTTCTACAGGAGATATCGCTTGGGTGAGATCAAGCGATATTTCTTAAGAGATATAACTGCAACAACAATGCTTTGGAGACATTTGTGACATCATCAGATACCATGACATAACAATCAAATGACATCACATCTCTCTGCCACTGAAGCTGTAGCTTACACTTAATGACACTGATTACTATATATAAGATAGCTACGTGATACATTGGAATAAAAATAAGAATGAAGGGTGGTTTATTTCACAATAAAACATTGTTCTATCATGAGTGAGTCATTTCTGGAGATTCGAACATACCCTCGCAACTTGATGGCGTTGTAAATAGAAAGACATTATTTTTTAGGTGAAAGTGTCTAGTGAGTTGTTCCCAATAGTTGTAGCTGGGCAACGTAGATAACAATCTATCTGCTTCATCTGGCGACACTGCTACACATCATTTTGGTCCAAATTAATGGAGAGAGAGATTATTGCTTTACAACAGTCATGAAACTATTCACCGAACAAAATATGTTCAGTCACTGACGTACCTAATGCCAGTCTCCTGTCTTCGGACAAGCCTTTATGCACAGATACGGTGACTGGCCGACTAGAATCGTGGTCACTGCAGTGGAGGTGACATGTAAAACAATGCAGGAAGGTGCTGACAGCCATCGCCTGCTCCTTGAACTTGACACGCGGCTCTGCTGTGTCGGCTGATGAGCTGAACTTGTCCAGCTGAGCTACCACCCCTTGTGCCTCCGACCACGTCAGTCCCAGCGACCTGGCCACCATCTGAAGGAAGTGAGTGAGGTTGGTTAACGCTTCCTTGAACAGTATTTCAGTTATATGATACAGTCAAGTCTCGTTAACCCGACACTCGTTAATCCGACAATCGGCTTTATCCGACAGTAATGAGGGGAACCGATTAAATCAGTGCTATTTAGACCTGTTAACCGACAGTCTCGCACTCTCACTCCGACACACCTAATTTGCAACAAATTACCGAAATCACTCATTAATCAGACTTGTTAATCCAACACAGTGATCAGCGACCCCGTGGTCATCTGCCCGTGAGTACACAGCCCCGTGTTTTGATGCGAGATGAGTCGTCGAGTAGCCCCAGAGATAAACTTGCTTAACAATATACAATTACTGCTTTAGATAAACAAAACAGGATTAATCACATGCCTAGATTACCTCAATCTCATAAAATCAGATACACGTTCTCGCTACAGCTGAGGACACCCCATTACAGGTCACGTCAGAACGACCTTTAGCTAACTTCGACCGACCAATGAAATCACGAACATTGATACTACCTAAGTTCGTTTATCCGACATACTCGTTAATCCGACATAATCATATGCAACCAACAATGTCAGATTAACAGGACTTGACTTTAGTTTGTTAGCTAGAAAGCCAAAGTGATGCAGGTTTCAGACATTTACCACTTTAATGACTAATGACTCGAGTAGCTTTGTGGAATGGGTCCTATTTTGACAATCATAAATTCTACACTCTAATACTGACTAATGACTCACAAAGCGCCGAGATCACTTTGTGGAAGGGGTCCTATTTTGACAATTCTAACTTCAATACTCTAATAATGACTAATGACTCGCGTAGCCCTAAGATCACTTTGTGGAATGGGTCCTATTTTGACAATCATAAATTCTACACTCTAACACTGACTAATGACTCACAAAGAGCCAAGATCACTTTGTCGAAGGGATCCTATTTTGACAATCGTTACTTGAACATACCTCAGTGTTAGACTCCTCTGCACTCCCAGAGGCGACGTCACCACGGGAGGTGAACTTCTCCACCATCTTGTAGGTGTGTAGCAGGTTGTCCTGGGCCTGGCAGAACCGTAGGAACAACTTGCTGTCGATGTCCAGAGTGGCATCAGCTGAGGAAGGAACACAGTTGGTCATTACATAATGGGGTGGGTGGGTGATAATCAGCAGCATCTACAAGTCAGTATCCTTTATCACCATTACTTTACGAGTGAGTGAGTGAGTGAGTGAGTGAGTGAGTGAGTTTTACCCCGTTTTTATAAATATTCCAGCAATATCATGGCGGGTGACACCGGTATTGGGCTTCACACATTGTACCCATGTTGGGAATCGAACCTGGGTCTTTGGCGTGACGAGCGAACACTTTAACCACTAGGCTACCCGACCACCCCTATTACAAAAGGATTATTCTTTGATAAAACATAACATCTGTTACCATGGTTACTATTACCTTTCCCACTGATCTTCTGTATGCAGACTTTTAGGACGTTCTTCATCAGTGTCGATGACAAGTACTTCGTGCTGAGAACTCTCTCGACAGCCTGAAAGTTATTTCATCACAAACTATTAAATCTCGAGCTGGAAACTTACAGATAATCTCAAAGGAAGGTGGTGAATGAATGTTGTTTTATGCCAAGCTCAATAATATTCCACTTCATCACCACTGGTCATATGTGGGAGCAATGTCCCACACGTCAGGGTCAATGACACATAATCAGTCAACTCAAAGAGGGACCACCTGATTCTCATTGTGACCTGGACCTGTGAAGATCTGGGGTAGAATAGGTCTTCAGCCACCCATGCCTCCCGTAAAAGGCGACTATGCTTGTTGTAAGAGGTGACTAACGGGATCGGGTGGTCAGGCTGGCCGACTTGGTTGATGCATGTCATCGATCCCAATTGCGTGGATCGATGCTCATGATATCAATCACTGGATTGTCTGGTCCAGACTCGATTATTTACCGACTGCCGTCATATAGCTGGAAAATTGCTGAGTGTGGCGTTAAACAACAAATCAACCAACCAACCAATCATTGTGACCTGAAATCCACACAGGGTTGCAGGCACTACCAAAAGATACTGACAGTGACCACTAGATACCCGATAAATTATGTATCAGGATAAATGTCTAGTGATACAATATGTATCTCAGTGCAAGGAGACACATAATCAGGAGAAATCTGGGATTTGTATCAACGTCCCTGGAAGCTAAGGGGAGCAACTGTGAACTGCAAAATGCAGCATCTCAAATTCCTGACTGACAAAAAGAGGTGGTGAAATGGGGTTTAACGTCGCGTCCAAGATTATTGCACTTATATAGCAATGTGCATGTACGTGTGTGTGTTTGTGTGGCTTCTTGTACTAGTCCGGACTGATGCCGATTTATAGTGCTAGCTCACTGAGATACCATGCCGCAGTTTAACATGAATACCCCACTCAGACACAGTATACTGACTCCAAGCTGACCAGTCCTTGTTTTAGCCACTTAATGCCGAGCGCCAGACAGGGTAACAACAAGTACCATCTTTTTGGTATGACGCGTCCAGGGATCAAACCCCGGACCTTCCACTCTCCGGGCAGACGCTCTACCACTAGACCACGGAGGCGGTCGACTGACAAAAAAAACAACAGATCGAATACATCACCATCATCCTCTTGCTCCCAGCCGACACACTTTCTTTAATCTTGATGATATTCACTACCAATTCCTTTACAAAGGTAAACTATTGTTTCTATTACGCTAGTCACTACAGGTGCAAGTATTTAGTCTGATGTCACCATAGTGACAGAGCATCACCTGTTTGGTGATGTTGGATATTCGCATGTCCAGGATCAGATCCTTGATGGTCGACTCCAGGGAGTCTGGAACAAGCGAAACATTACCATGGTTACATTATAGGTCAGGCAATATTTTTTTTCTTTTCATATTTTTTGGATTTTGTTCTGAGAACATAACGAATGGTAGTTTATCATTGATGGATTAGAATAATAAAAAGATCCAACAAAAATCATATCATGACATGATGACCAAGAGTCCAACGACCCAACTGCCTTCATGACAAGCATAGGTTACTGTGTACAAATTCCACCTGAAAAACAGTTTTTTTTATGAAATTAGAGATCAGTTGGTGAGTTAGTATGGTTGTACACCGTTTTTAGCAATGTTCATGCAATATCATGTGCTTCACACATTGTGGGGTATCGAAACCTGGGCCTCGGCATGACGAGCGAATGCTTAACTCCTGGGCTACCCCAATGCCCCAGATCATTTAGTAAGAACATGAACATGGAGACAATTACAAGAACACCTGTGGCTTAACACTAACCTGTTGACTCAGCATTTTCCTTCAGAATAGCCTTGAGTTTCTTCAGCAGATGAAGGTCTCGGGCTCTCTTGCTGCTCTTGTCGCTGTAACATCATGTAGCAGGACGGAAATTGTTATTGTAGATATAATTGACTCAGTCATATGGTTATTTTACTGAATATACAGTGTAGCTTGTTAGTCCTGTTGGATCTATAAATTATGTTACGGGGCAGCCTTAAATGTTCACCTGCAGTGTCTCTATTTTGATAATTTCAACAGAAGGTCTCTTGAAAGCATAATTAGTTGTAAGTCAAATATCACATGACCATTTGTATCACCAGTTCATAGGAAGATAGCAGAACATTCTGCAAGTTAGTTCAATAGTTTACAGTGTTGCGGCCAGTGCTCATGAGAAACTGTTAGAACATGCTAGAGTCAAGCTTGGGGATATTAACAGCGTGAAGATCTAACAAATGTGAGTGAGTGAGTATGGTTTTACGCCGCTTTTAGCAATATTCCAGCAATAACACCAGAAATGAGCTTCACACATTGTACCCGGGTCTTCGGCGTGACGAGCAAACGCTTTAACCACTAGGCTACCCGACCGCCCCATCTAACAAATGCTTCAGATGACAATGTCTGAGGCAATCAGCTGATGAGGCTTCTGAATTCTCTGTACGGGTGGACGAACATTCAGAACAGCAAATATGGATTTATCCAGCATTCGAAACTAAATGCCCTTGCAGACATTTTTGGAGAAAATTGTTATCATGCTCAAATTGGATAGTGAGTGAGTGAGTTACCGCTCTTAGCAATATTCCAGCAATATCATGTAGGGGGACACCAGAAATGGGCTTCACACGTTGTACCCATGTGGGGAATCGAACCTGGTCCTCAGCATGACAAGCGAAATATAATATATATATTTGTTGCGACTTAGTCTTGAACCAAATTGAAATATTCAAAAAAGAAATAGAAAAAATTGAACTTTGTGTGAATGACATGTAGATCTTGTTACTTTGGAGATGACAGGACTGCCAGTTTCAAAAGCCAGTTGAAACACTGTTGGGGCCTCTGAGCAGGTATAGAAACATTCCTGACATTTCTGAACCCCATGGCATCTGCACCCAACAGTGGGTTCTATCAAGGGAATATTTGTGTTCGAAATGTTCAAGTTATGAAACTGAATCACTTTAGCAACCTGATGTCTGACTGGCTCAAGAACCCACACATACATCAACAACCACCTGACACAGTTTCTCTTCACACAAAGGGGTGTTGTATGGAAGTAAAAGATCTGATTTGAAAGAGACTTGACAACAAGACTGCAGCCTACCTGAGAGCCAAATGGAAGGGGACTTCAAGAGTCTTCACAAAGCCTTCAGGGTCAACAAGTGCACACTGGAAGGCCCGCGACTTCACTCCACGACTTGTGACGTTGTTCAATCCCATCATGCCCGAGCTGGGACACACCAGCTGACACCACTTGCTGACATTGAAGGCCGCGACTCGCGGTCCATTGGCTGCCGTCCATACCTACAGCATAACAGTCACTTGTTAATTGAAAGGTGAGAGTACTTTAGTTTAGTACGATCTTTGTTTTGTTTGTTTGTTTGTTGTTTTGCCGCACTGAGCAATATTCCAGCTTTATGACAGCGGTCTATAAATAATCAAGTCTGGACCAGACAATCCAGTGACTGATATCATGAGCATGATGTCTGTAACTGTATCTTCATTCAAATGATTACTTTTATTTCTGAACGTGGCTTGGATGGTCAATTCCATTAACAGAAATATATACAAGTGAGCCATTATTGCACAATAACAAAGTTTGTTCGGTGGTTAATGCTGCACTCAGCACTCTTCCAGATATATGATGGTGGCCTGTACATAATCAAGTCTGGAACAGAAAATCCAGTGATCGATATTGTCAGCAACAATCCACACCATCGGGGTACAATGACACGCTATCAATAAAGTAACCAAGCCTGACCACTTGATCCATTGTGGTTGTCTATTGTTTAAAGCCGCACTCAGCAATATTCCAGCTATATCAAGTCTCTGGACCAGACAATCCAGTGATTGACATCATGAGTATCAATCTAGGCAATTGGGATACGATGACATGCATCAATGAGGTTGATGGGGACATATTCCAACCCAGGGGATTATAACAAAGAGTTATGAGGACACGGATGAGATTGTACCTCAAGAATTCCTCTCCTGGGAGCGTAGATAACCAGGAACTGAGCAACACGGGAGTGGTCGCGGTTCCTGCTGCCTGACCCGTCGTCCTCTCGAACCTGGATCCAGCCTACCTGAGCATCACGGTAACCTAGCAACACACAATTTGGCAGATGGAAGAGACAGGAAATGTATTTGCAAAAAAGCAATCCTTTACCATGTGGTTACCATACATAACTGGTGCATAATAGAAAACAACTATTATTTGGAAGACTATGTCAACAAGAGTCATCAGGAGATGACAAACATCCCTCGCCTGGTGCAATTCTGAAAAGGACTTTGGCTACTTATACCCCACTTTTGGTTCATTGCCATTGGAAACCTTCAGTTCAGTGAAGAATATAATGCTCTACAGTATTTTTCAAAATCCCAAATCATGGAATGACAGACAACTGTTTCGTTTTGGCGGGAACATCTTCATGTAAGTAGCTGTCAGCAACACTGTCGTTTTCTACCGATAGTGAAGGTATGGTAGACTCGGGAGGTGGCTTGAAGACCGCTACAGTAGAGGGGAAAGCTGGTTTGGTTACACACTTGGGTCTTGTTCAGTGTGTCCTTTGGATCAAGATCGGTGGTCGACATTTTGTTTCTGACATTTACATAAATAGGTGCGGAAAGCTTCTTCTGAGAATTGAGGGCATTCTGAGCACATGTGGTCCGTTTGAAAAAGACTGTGGCAATCGCAACAAAGATCATGTGGATCGGCAGAGGAATAGGTACATATGCAAGTTCTACCAAATTCACATGGTGTTTAATGTTACAAAATCCATCCACTACCTCCCTCATCATCAACTACCAACCTCATCGTCAACTACTGTCATCGTCATCTACCTCTGTCATCATCAACTACCTCCCTCATCATCAACTACCTCTCTCATCACCAACTACCAACCTCACCATCAACTACCTCTCTCATCATCAACTACCAACCTCACCATCAACTACCTCTCTCATTGTCAACTACTGTCATCGTCAACTACCTCTCTCATCATCAACTACCAACCTCACCATCAACTACCTCTCTCATCACCAACTACCAACCTCACCATCAACTACCTCTCTCATCACCAACTACTGTCATCGTCAACTACCTCCCTCAGCATTAACTACCTCCCTTAGCATGCAACTACCTTTCCACATCCTGATGGCGATGCCCCTCTCGACATCCACCAGCGTCACACGACCAAACCCATCTGTGAAAGCAGCGTACTTGCAGCTAGGAGACAGAGACAAGCTATCACCTGTCCTCCTCTGGTCAGGTAAGCCATACCTGGTGACAAGAACAGAAATTATTAAGAAAAACAACAGAGAAAGAAGCATTGAATATGCCAAATGATCACCTAACATGCGAAAAGTCACTCTTTAAATGCTGTCGGCTTATCGTTTTCTTGTGGCATCAAGATAATTTGAGGTTCTGTACAATAAATATGAATAATACGATTACCCGATTCATCATATTAAGCAACCTACTGCAATAAGCACCCTCTGACTAACATCTAGATTAACCTGTAGGTTATCTTCATAATTGGCCCCTACTAAAACCCAAAATTGACATAACAGTATTAACACACTATGTTTCGAGTGGATATTACAGATTTTTACAGAAATAGAAGGGGTATGTAAAAGTCTTGTAACTTATATCGAAAATGGTTCAGTTTGATCAACGTTTGAGCTAAGTGTGATCACTCCCCCACCAATCTTTCAAAACAATTTAACCTGAGTATGGTTTTAATAAGCACTCCCTTTGTCAATTTTTGTGACCAGGGTGCTTACTACAGCGTAAATCATGCTCCTCCTAAAACAACAGTCTGATGATGACATATCTAGCCCACCTGTATGGGAGTGGAGTCGCTGGTTCTATTTTGGGAGATTTGTCCTTTGCTTCATCTTTCTGTCTGCCTCCGAAACCAAGCCAGCCACTGCAAGCAGACAATGGCATGGAGTTCAAGCATTTCCTCAAATACATGAAACATGAGGGGTCTCTTTTCATAACGCTCATACACTGGCAAACCTCGGATTGAATATCTTTAACTGACATTTGGATAAAGTCATCTCAGAATACAAAAAGTCAGACATGGCAAAAAAACAAAGATTTAATTGATTAAAAAAAATGGACAATGCAAAGTCTGGTGGTCCTTTAGAGTTGACTTTAATTATGGAAAGTTGGAATTGCAATTTGCTATTTATTAATATAGTCACAAAAATACTCACATATAGTGAGTGATTTGTGTTTAACGCCGCTTTAAACAGTATTCCAGTCATATCACGGCGTGTCAGCTTAATGTGGGAGGAAAGCCCAAAGTGATGCAGGTCTTAGACATTTACCACTTCAGTGAAACCCACGAGCACAGGTATGGTGCTGACAAACGAACCGGGATTCGAATCCACAATCATAGGTTTCTGGCGTGCCCAAGGGCTGCAACTCTGCACAGCGAATCGCAGCGCCTTAGACGACTGGGCCACCTGTGCCCCCACTGGACAAGGATTCACAAGCTTGTACCAATAACCACAGTACTGAACATGTTATTACTTTTACAACAGTGTAACCATGGTAACAATACCTGGCGGCAGACATCAAGGCTGTCTTTATCTTGTTGGCGACAGCCATGGCCACATCAGACAGGATGGGTTGTGTACTGCCCTGGAACAACAAGATCATAACTCAGACTCAGATAGCTCCATCACGGCAAAAAACATAAACCTGTTCTTTAAGCAAAATAACAAATACCCTTTTGTTCTTGAGCGAGATATCATATTCAGAGCAGGAGAAAACTCTCTCATGATTTTACCACTTGTTGAAACCCACAAGAATGGGTATGTTGCTGACAAACATGGACACAATCAGTGTGCAAAATAGCTGCCTGCCTGCTAGCCTGTGGCTAGCAACATTTCAGTTGGGCTAACAATTCTGAAATATCCCTAGCCCGACTGGCTACTGAAACTTTAACAGGGATATTGTTATGCACAGCTCTCAGTTTATCAAAATATAAAAAAAAAGGTCTCCCATTTCTGTAGATCAATATGACCTTGAAAAATTACAAAATGAAATTAATATCTGTTTTGAATCAAGATTGCAATGTTGCAGGATCAGAGTACCCCTCATCGTAATGTTTTTACTCATGATTTGCAATTTGAGTTTACTTTCTTGATACCTTTACAGAATCAGAATCAAAACTGTCGTACATTTAAGCCAGTGAAATTTGAAATAGGCTGGTAACTTTTCAGACTAGCTAGCCCGCCTATTTCTCACACCAGGAACAATCAAAACCATACAATTAAATATACATCAAAGAGAAACTTTATTAAATCCCACACACATAACCATATCTAGCTACCAGCCAGCACCAGCAGTAAACAAAAGAAGCCAGGTTTACCTCCATGGCATGGAAGAAGCCCACGTAGGGCCCCACGCCTGCAGTGAGGTAGATGCTGGCAGCTGGGGGCGACGTCTTCACCGTAGCGCTGAACCCCCCGAGGAGGGAGGCTGTCTTCATCTGATCAAATGGGTTAGAAGACTGCACACCTGCAGCAGAAACCATGGTCAGGAGTTGATAAACTCAGCCTTACTTGAAGAATACCTGCCATGCACAGGAACTAACTATTCATACAATATTTATGATCCTATTCAAAATTAAATTTTCAAATCATATTTTACTGAATGAATAAAGTGGGATTTAAATACTTGGTTGATCAAAACATTTCCCGATTACTAAAGTTTGTTTTGGGCAATAAACAATATAACCACTCATTTGCTGATGTAAACTGTCGAAAGCAATTTTATTTCACAAACAAACTTCACATGGACCAAAGACAAATGAATGTTATGATTAGTGTCATCCAATTGCAGCCAACGAGATATTGGCCACACCCGTTTACTCATTAAGTAGACAGGAGCCAAGTCAAGGATGATATGGCAAGGGACATAACTCTTTATGAGTCATCGCAAAGACTCTGCACATTTATGTACTACTACAAGTACCTCCTACTGACCATACTTTCCTTTATTTCTATAAATAAAAGTAATAAGAAAGGGATGAACATAACTGTTACATGTCTTGCCAAAATTGCACATCTTTTGACTCGGAGAAAAGTTCCAAATCTTTAAGTTGAAGTATTATCTCACCGCTGCTGACAAGGTCGTTGATCTTGTCCTGGTCTTGTAACGCCCACTTCTTGTAGGCCAAGGGAGGAGGCTGCAGCATGGTCTCACTGCCGCTCGCAGTCGCTGGAAGAATCAGACGGTAATACCGTGAGTACACAGAATCAGCTCTAACACTATGAGGTCTCACTTAATCTTCTGGCTTACAGAAATTGGCACACCAATAAACATTTTTGACTAAGAAAGTGTAATCCCAAATATATGTTACAACTGATCACTTTCTAAAAAGCATTGTCTATTCATAGCTTTCAGCCATGGGATCAATGCCATTTTACACTTGTCAGAGGGGTACACAAAGTATGTGATCTAGACTACAAGTTGTTGGACTTCCGCTTCGTGGAAGCCTCAGTAGCCAGTGGACCATGTCGCTGATTTAATGCAAGTGACAGTTCAAGCATGAGTGACTCACCTCTGGCCACCTGGTTCCTGCAGGCTCTGAGAGACTGAAACAGGCTGAAGCCATCGATCGACACCACGGCTCTCTTGTACAGAATCACCAGCTCTTCATGCTGGAGCAAAAGATTACCACTTCTTGATACAGGTCAACCACAACATACTGCACTCAAGGTAAAGAGAATGGCGATTTAATCTGGATTTCTTCACCTTTCCTTCTGCACTACGTCTTTACCCAACTCTCATTCTGATGAACTTCTCAAAGCAGGAACTAAACATGCTAAATACTGATAGAAACATTTCTAAGGCCATAATTAATATCAAATTTGCATCTGTGACTCATGGTTTATTGTAAAACGAATGGGAGTGTTGCAATCCGATTGGATCCTCGACTTAGCACTGCTTACGAATACTTTCTTGATAAGTATCTTTCTTTTCTTAATTCCAAATTTGAAAAAAAATCTGTCATTCAGCATTGCAAGATGGATACCACACTAATGACACTAATTTTGATAAACATATATCAGAACGACTTCGATTTTGTTTATTCTTTTTCATATTCTGCTAACCAGGGTCCACTTTCACAAAGCGATCTTAGCGCAAAGATGATCTTAACTCCCATACTTTAACATAGGCTTAAGATAGTCTTAGCGCTAAGATGATCTTAACTCCCATACTTTAACATAGGCTTAAGATAGTCTTAGCGCTAAGATCGCTGTGTGCAAGTGGGCCCAGATGGGTTCAGCTGTCACTGGAGGATGTGATGTCATCCATTGTCGATCATGACATCATGATATTCAAGCGTGACATCACAGCAAACCAGCCTGATATCATGTCTGTTTCACGACAGTAAAGGTTCCAAATAAAAATTCTGGATCAACACATTGGATGCTCAAAGCAGCAATTAACCTGTAAACACATGTTGCTTATGTCCGAATTACCTACCAGCTCAGACATGCCAAGGAATCGGGGCGGTTCGTAGGTACGACACTTGAGTTTCTGGACAGCTTCAGCATGGAGGAGTTGAGATAGCAGCAACACACCAGTCTACAACACACAGAGTAAAAACAGGTTAGTCAGCTGGGGGTGAACATGACCATCTCCATACACTGACAGACAAAATAAATGAGTTGTTTCAGTACTGATCAATCTTTTTGCAATAGCTTTAGAAATTCAGCAAGCCCAGCTTTAATGAATCACAACTCATTACATCATATTTTTGAACTGTCAACATTTTCTTTTCACTTTGAAGGTTTCCAGATTCCTCTCCATCTTATCAAAATCAGATCTTTACTCTGATACAATACGTCTCTGCATGGCCATCTGACAAACCCTCCATAGAAGGCTGTGCCAGCAGAACCCAATCAGATACCAGTTTTCAAAAACAATTCAGTTTAATTTCTTTACCACCTCCATTCTAAATATTTCAATCTCAACCCAAAACGAAAAAAAGAATTACACAGATCACAAATATTCCCTCGACAGTACTCCATTTGGGTGTAGAAGCCATGGCAGTCAGGAATGAAATAAAATATCCACAACACATATAGCTCAGACTTTATTATTTTCCATTTGGAACTGACCATTCATGATCTTTTTTTAAATACATTAATCAGAGCTGAATGCTTCGCTCATTTGCAAACAAAATTAAAGAAGCCTCAATGCTGATTAGAAAGTTCATCTGACGCAGCCTTGAATGGATGGTTTGTCAGATCTACCTATGAGTGCTATCATATCAAGCAAACATTCAGATTTCACATTTTACCTCTGTGTACATGCGAATGTATCCGGAGGAGAATCCCACTATCACACACGTCCAGTCAGGCCCACCTTGAGTGCTCCTGAGCAGATACAAACAACACTCATGGTAAATATTATTAATTTACACTAAAAAGTATTTTTTTTTTTTTTTACGCATGCATTTTGAATAATCATCCACGATCAGTGTTACATAGATCTACATGTCCCATGCCACTGTGAAATAATTGTGCCACTGTTCTATTCACCTTATCATTACGTAATGTGAACATCAGCAATGAATATCTGTACAATGCTCTTTCCTAGAACGCGGGGTCGGGATCGTGGACCCCGATGACAGTGGTATATGGAGGGATCACTGTCGCACATTCTTATCCCATATGTTCACATTGTTTATACTTTCTGTGTACATCTTCAGGTATTCAAGTATTTGGATGCAGCATATACAAGAACTAAGATTTATGGATGTTAGTTACTTTTTATTAACTTCAGTGTAATCAGCTAGTTATTGTTAATGAAAGGTTCTTGTAAAAACTCTCAAACCTACATATCAATTACGAAAAAACCAACATACCTTTTCTGTGAAGCTAAGGGCAGGCACATGAGTGCTGTTATGGTTTCACTGAAACAAGATGAGAAAAATATATGTAAAATATGTACATAGAAATTAAGTGTAATAAAAACACAAAATAACCAATAAATTTACATAACTATTCTCTTTTTTTTAACTTTTCTTTTCATACACCTTTGTGACATGATTATCTTTTTTATCATGTTAATAGATGACTAACATCATATATACCTCTCGTCCTGCTTCAGGCTACTTTGCCATTGTATAGAAAATTTGCTTTCAATATCTTCGCCTTTATGCTTGGGATCCCATTTTTCTGAAAATATAAAATAAGGTCAAAAATATGGATTCTATGTCTCATCATGGAACAATTAGCAAATCAATAATTTGTCTTTGTCTACATAAGAACTGTAATTCATTATCTGTTTAGTTATATAAGCATGATAATAAATGCATGTCAAAGCAGACAAGTGAAATATATCTTGAATCATTTATCTGCTGTTTTGACATATTGAGACACTAATACTAACAATATCTATGAGAAAGTATCCATGAGGCATTTTACAATTTGATAATAATAATAATAAACACATATACCATTCATAGTTCATGCCATGTTATTTATGTATACATATCCATATTCCCAAATCGGGTAATAAAGTATCATCTCATCTCATCTTATCTTATCTTACATGATGATGAAGCACCTGTTGCTATCAGAGAGCTATCACAAATGTGAATTATTTCCTTCCAGATACTGCAATCAAAATATCTTAAAGAACTATATTTATATCATTTCATGGCATAAATCACTCATAGTAGTTGTAGATAGATCATGATGTATAATGCAAATATATCATCTGATCATATATTCATAAAATAATTGTGAAACAAATAGAATTAAAAACCTACGAGCTAGGACAACAATCTTGTCCTCATGTGCAATGGCAACCATATCATTTGTAGGTGACAGCGACAAGATGCATTCCTGAAACCATTTCTGTTTGCCATTATCAGGTTGATCGGTAGATTCTACCGTTTCAACACTCTCGTTTGCATCCTCATTCCATCCCCAGTCAGCCTCCCAATTCTCATCACCTAGGTCAATAGAGAAACAAGACATACAATAATACGCTTACTCTATGGATAAAATATATAGTGAGGTACATACAGTTGATCTGTCAAAATGAATTCAATGAAAGTGATTCTGCTAGAGACAAATGGCATAATGACACTCTCATGATTTTATCAACTTTTTAAAGTACATTCTGGGACTAGGATGGGTAACTACAGTACTCGTATTTGACATGTTGGATGGTCCCTGAGTAGGACCCGTATACTCCAGTCATACCAAAAGACGTTAAAAGATGGTACTCGTTATTACCCTGTCTGGCGCTCAGCATTAAGGGGCTAAAACAAGGACTGGTCGGCCTGGAGTCCGAGTGGGGTATTCATGTTAAACTGTGGCATGGTGTGTCAGTGGGCTAGCACTATAAATCAGCATCAGTCTGGACTAGTACAAGCAGCAACACACACATACACATGCATGCACATCGCTATATAGAAGTGCAATAATCTTGGACGCATCGTTAAACCCCATTTCACCTCACCTCACCTCACCTATCATCATCCCAAACAAGTTTGAAAAAAAACCTCAGGACATTTTGGATGACAATCAGTCAATGTCCGAGAAAACGAACCGCTCTGAAACACTAAGCATTGCTAAGTGATGTGTCACTTCCATTAGACTACAAGTCCCAATGCAACAGCTGATTTGGGACTATTTTGATTGTCAGCAGGGTCAGTGCTGATATTTGGATGTAAACTTAAGATCAGCAATCTCTGCACAATTCGTACATGATGTAAACGCTTGTAAATGCTACTACACTTGCAGCTTAAACAGGTTTGTTGGAGGCTGTAAGCTGAACAATAAACTAATTGGAAAAACCTGCAAATTTCTGTCTATCTTTGCAAACTCACCTTCGTTTGACTGGGCGATATCTGGAGTCGAATCCCTTGAAGCTGGGAAGAAAAATTTCTTCACAGATGAAATATTCTGAAACCTTGATAACACACACAGCTGACAAGACATGTTTGCAGATCCAAAACAGAACGACTAACACAAAATCTTCTGTTTACTTTCGACAAAGTAATTTCATTGAATCATCAACAAGTCCGCCATATTGCTCGTGACATCACCGGAAGTGAATGTCTGCTATTGAAGACCGACTGGATCTTTGACTGGTCTGCGTTCTGTTTGTATGCGTTACGGCCGGGTTCAGTCTAATAAGGCGTAAACATTATTACTAAATATCCTTCAGCGTTAACTGCCCCAAGCATTATATCTTTTTTCTTTGGATATCACATGACTTCTGTTGATGGATCTAATACGTACACTAACCTAATGATGAAGTGAGATCTTGCCAAGTAAAACGGGGTTCTAAATGTCTTTCAAAGTGTTCATTACAAATAATGAATCTTAATTCGTGCACTGTCTACCGTATTTCCTCTATTAGACGCCCGGCAGTCAATTAATTTCTCGCAGGTCGTTGACCCATCGTGTATTAGAGACCCAGCGTCTATATATTCATGTGTATGTGTGTGTGTGTGTGTGTGTGTGGCTGCTTGTACTAGTCCGGACTGATGCCGATTTATAGTGCTAGCTCACTGAGATACCATGCCGCAGTTTAAGATGAATACCCCACTCAGACACAGTATACTGACTCCGAGCCGACCAGTCCTTGATTTAGCCCCTTAATGCCGATCGCCAGACAGGGTAACGACAAGTACCATCTTTTAACGTCTTGTGGTATGACGCAGTCGGGGATTGAGCCCCGGACCTTCCGCTTTCCGGGCGGACGAGTTCGAGATAATTTTTAAGCGTAGTGTTGACAATTGAGATGACATTCGGGAAATAAACAATGGAACAATAATGAAACTGACCATGTGGTAGAGTAACTAGGAGAGAATATTTCAGTCACGAATTTGAATACACAATCAGCTACTTCTCAAAATCAAACATAAAAAATACATATGAACTCTTAATATCATGGGTTTGTTTCCGACAAGCAAAGGAGAGCCTTTAATCTCTTAGTCCAAACTATATAATCTATAATCTTACAACTGACATTACGTAAATGATGATAAGTGTCGTTCACTTGATTAGTGCTGCCCGGATTAAACACTAACTCTGTGTAGTGCCTAGGGTAACTCAACAGGATTATGGAAGGTGGCGGGACACGCAGTTATGTCAGTCAGTGTCGTAATCGCCCTGTTAAGTAATGCGTGACAGATTTAAGTGAGTGAGTGAGTTTGGTTTTACGCCGCTTTTAACAGTATTCCAGTTATATGTGGGAGGAAAGCCCGAAGTGATGCAGGTCTCAGACGTTTCCCACTTCGGTGAAACCCACGAGCACGGGTATGGTGCTGACAAACCTAGAAACATAATCGGGGCGAACCGGGATTCGAACCCACAATCATAGGTTTCTGGCGTGCCCAAGGGACGCAACTGCACAGCGAATCGCGGGGCCTTAGACGACTGGGCCACCCGTGCCCCCGTGACAGATTTGAACATGTACACTCTATCTCACGCGACTGTGCTTGTCGTAAGAGGCGACTAACGGGATCGGGTGGTCAGGCTCGATGACTCGGTCGATGCATGTCATCGATCTCAATTGTGTGGATTGATGCTCATGATGTCAATCACTGGATTGTCTGGTGTGGCAATAAACAACAAGCAAACAAACAAAGCATAAAGAAACAGATCAGCAAGAAGGGGGGGGGGGGGGGGGGGGGGGGCACAATTGTTGTGTATAGGGATGCCTACTTCTTGCGAAAATGTCTTACCCCCAATTTTACATAAATGTTGGTTAGTTTGTTGGTTAACGCCACACCCATTACACGATCAGCGATCTAACCCACTCAGCCACCGTGGGTTCCACAAAATGAAAGTCCGACAACTGGTAGTCTAGATCACGTACTTTGTGTACCCCTCTGACAAGTGTTATTTGGTACGGCTCCCATGGCCGAAAGCTATGAATTCACAATGCTATTTAGAAAGTGGTCAAATGTAACAAATGTTATATTTGGGATAACACTTTCTTACTAAAAAAAAGGGTTATTTTCGTGTGAACGTGCCCTTTAATCAACGTCGGTCGCGGAGTCCTTGTATGGGTGATCGCGTTCCTGAGAGTTTCTGGGGCGGTCGGGTAGCCTAGTGGTTAAAGCGTTCGCTCGTCACGCCGAAGACCCGGGTTCGATTCCCGACATGGGTACAATGTGTGAAGCCCATTTCTGGTGTCCCCCGCCGTGATATTGCTGGAATATTGCTAAAAGTGGCGTAAAACCATACTCACTCACTCACTGAGAGTTTCTAGGGCTTCGGTCCTGAAGCCCATGCAGCACATGTGGTGTATCCTATGTTAGAATTGTGCCTCTGTTCACCCAGCAGGGAATGTGCCCGGCAGGAAGAGACGACGATGTGGTTATTAACCTTCAAGCGCCCCAGGGAGCTGAGAATAATTGTTTAGTGCACACAGGTAATAAATGTCTAAGCACTTAGAACAGGCTTATGCACGGAGGACATCGCCATATAAATGGATTTTTTAATTTTTTTCAAATATAAGTGCAAGTTCATTAAGTTTCTTGAAAAAAATTTTTTTTGTAAAACGGACAACACAGCGGAGTTCAATGGCAGTAGGAGCATGACAGTTAAAAAAAGCATGGTTTTCATTGGTTCATATGTGTGTTAATATATGTGTGACCTTCCATAGGAGTTCACGTGCATATGTAATAAGCTAAATATGTGTCTGTGGTTTTCATTGGTTAATGTGAGTGACCTATCATCAGAGGTCACTTGCATGTGTAATCAGCCGAATAGTACGCTACATAATCTCACATATGAGAGCTGAATATGTTGGATTAAGTTTTTGTTCTATACTTTAGGTGTTTATTCCAAGTTACCACCTTGTTATTGTAACCAGATATCCACACCATTCTTGGATTCTAAAGTAATGCATTTATTAAAACAGTTAGCCTATATAGCCTTCACCTTCATCGAACACGGCGGGATAACTGGTTGCAGTTATCGTTCGCGTAGTATCGCTGGAAGCACATGCGTCTCTCCGGCTCACCTGCAAATCAAATTTCTAGCGTAGCGTCTAGACACTTTGCCTTCTAAAGAGTTGGATTCGTTTTGTTGGATGTTGTTGTATGCTGTTCTTGTTTGTTACTGTAACTTATTTTGCATACTATTATTCTTTTCAGCAACTGTTTTCTGCGTTTTCTCTCTCGTTCCAGGTCAGGACACTTTACATCTACAACGCAGTAATGGCGGTAAGAATTGTACCAGTATTAACTATATGCAGTGTTAAAGTACAGTTATATGGTTTACTGATATCCTATTCGCATTTCCTCGCAAAGGTTTATGTATTTAACTATGTTCAGACTCATAAGTAATATTATTTCATGTACATTGCGTTACTAGGCAGTCGCGCGTGACAGGTGGCGCCCAAAATTCATGGCGGCTACAAAACGTTTACTATTATTAAAGAACTACATATTTCAGATGTTATTCCAATTTATATGAGGTGTGGGTTCTGATGGAAACACAATTTGCAAACATTTGCTGCGTTTTTTGTCCTATCAGGCAAAAATGGGGTTTATTATGAATACCTATATGAATGTCAAATGTATCATTTTGTTTCATGTCATTAAAATAGGTCATAAGGCCTATGGATATAGGCTAAAGGCCTCCATAAACCTAAGCTTGTCATACCAAGCGACTTAGTGGACCCGGAAATCCATAAGGGTGTCATGATACACCTACTTCATGATACAATACTAATTGCCATGTTTGATTCACTACATGATACAAATCGCATTATATTTTGTGTGAATTCTTCATGTTCCATACCACCCAACAGACAACAAAATGTCATTGATGTCAAATGGTTTGTGTTTGTATGATTGGTTAATTTATTCCTACAGTATCATAGTATAACTGACATTAAATGAAAATATAGGTTGGTGTATCATATGGGTCATATTGTCCTGTAGCAATTTGAAATACATCGCTGAAATGTGACAGCCATAGTGATCATGGTTAGTTATTTGGTTTATTTGGTATCATCAATACCCCAAGGCATGGGTCTAGTATTGTCAGTCACTGTATTGTCTTGTCCGGACCTAGCTGCAGTGGGGCGGTCAGGTAGCCTAGAGGTTAAAGCGTTAGCTCGTCACGCCGAAGACCCGAGTTCTATTCCCGACATGGGTACAATGTGTGAAGCCCATTTCTGGTGTCCCCAGACATGATATTGCTGGAATATTGCTAAAAGTGGCGTAAAACCTCACCCCCTCACTCACTCACCTAACTGCAGTAAACGTATCTGTGCTGCCAGAGCAAGATAATTGTGTTTAGATTTCCACAAACCTATCTTCCTGTGCCATACCTTATTAATTTTCTAAATTTGTTTCAGAGTGGCATTGTCTCTGTTAGCGGACATCCTACGACACGGCCAGAGCTTGGTGGACCAAGTACTCTTTCAACTGTTTTGATTGGACCATCTTGAGGTAAAGTAACGTTTTCCTTGTTTATTTGCATCTAACGTAAAACATTTTGCACAATTATTTCTATATTTTTAACCTGTATTACATTAAAAAAATAAATCCCAAAGTACCTGTTAACAAAAAAAACCATTCAGATTTAACATGTCATTAAGTTATAGTGGCCTTAGACTGCTGTTGTATCTTTTAAATTGTAATGACAACTCAAACTGCTATGGTTGAACATTGCGGGGCGGTTTTTTTCATTAAAAAAACATCAGTTAATATTCCGTGTCTCGAACACAAACCTCAGCAGTGAAATATTGCAATACTAGGATAAACCTGATAAAATAGAGTGCAGAGTTACTTCTCTTTACATCATGTTACATGAGCACTGATCTATTGCACATCTCCTGTTTGGATCATGGTGGCAGATTCTGAGGAGTTTGTGTGCTTGTTTTGCCATTTGCAAACTTGGCCAATGCAAATGTGAAATTTGCAGGAAAATCACTGGAGATAATGATTTAATATTTATATATTTACTGTATGCTAGGCATTGTTTTAGATAATGAGATTAATATTACTGTGTGTAATTGTCTCTTAAAAAAATAAGCCTGAAATAGCAATCAGCTGTACATCCCACATT